AACAAAGCCCCACATTTATTTTTGTAGGACCTACCCAAATACTGTGATCTCAGTGGTCTCAGCCCCCTCCCCTTCTGTTGGAGGGGAGAAGGGGGTCCTAAAAGCCTTAACCTCCACCCTGGGTGGGGGCCTCACCCAGCCCTGGGGCCCCCCAGACCCTCTGGCCTTGCCTGACCCCTAAAGGACCACACGGCCCCCGCCCTGGGGAGGGTCCAGCTGCCCCCGAGCCCCCCCATCCCCTCCCGGGGGGCCCAGGGCCGGGTCCCACCCCCGGACAGGCCCGACCCCCCCACGCCGGGTCAGTGCTGCCGTTTTTATTCTTCCACAATTTTTAAAAATAAAGGAAAAAAAGAGAGAAAAAGAAAAATAACCGGGGGGGGGGGGGGGCGGTGACACAGAGCGGGGGGGGGGAAGGGGGGGGGGGGCACGGGGGGGGGGCACGGCCCCCTCCCACATAAACCCACATCGATCCCATTAAAAACCAGGAGCCGCCGGGTCCTCGCCGGGAACAACCATCCTGTCCCGCCCCGCCCTCCCCCCTCCCCAGCCCCCCCCAGAGACCCCCCAACCCCCCCTACGAGTCCGACTCGAGCCCCCTGAGTTCGTCCTCCAGCGCTTTCCTCCGGCCCAGCTTCTCCAGCTGCTCCTGGGTGGGCTGGGGGAGCCCCCCGGCCTCGAGGCGCCGCCGCAGCTCCTCCACCTGCCGCAGCTTCTTCCGCAGGCTCTTGATGCGGCGGCTGCGCTCGGAATTCCCGGGATTCCCGGCGCCTTCACCCCCCTGGGCCGGGGGGGCCCCTCCCGTCCCGCCGGGCTCCGAGAGCGACAGCTTGTCCAGCGCCGGGCTCAGTCCGTCCGTGTCCTGCGGCCGCTCCGGGGCCTTTTCCTGCTGCTGCCGCCGCTTCTCCTTGCGCTTGAGGTTCCTGCGGGCGGCCTTGGACAGCCCCTGCTCGGGGGGGGGGCCCTGGGGGGGCCCCGGGGGCCGCGCCGGGGCCGTGTCCGGGCTCAGCCCCGGCGGCAGCTCCGGTTTGCTCCGGAAAAACTTCACGTATTTGTTCTCGTACCTGAGGGCGGAGGGACGGGGTGAGGGGGGGCTGGGGGGAGCCAGGAGGGATCCAGGAGGGATCCAGGAGGGATCCAGGAGGGATTCCCAGGGGAACGTTCTGTGAGTGGCCCAGGAGGGGTCTGGGGGGGATCCCGGGGGGATTATGAGGGTCTGTGAGGGATCTGATCCCATAAGCGATCTGTGAGGGGCTGTGAGGGGGAAACGAGGGGGCCGTGGGGAATCCAGGAGGGGCCCAGGAGGTATCTGGGAGGGTCCAGGAGGGATCTGGGAGGGATTCCTGGGGGTCCAGGAGGAGCTGGGGGGGATTCTTGAGAGACCTGTGAGGGTCCATAAGGGGTCAATGAGGGATCTGTGAAAGGCCATGGGGCTGCAGGAGGGTCTGTGAGGGCATGGGGGGATCCAGAAGGGGTCCATGAGGATCTGGTGGAGGTCCATGAGGATCTGGGAGGGCATATGCAGCCCCTGGGGTGGGACTCGCCCACATGCAAAGCCCTGGGTGGGACCCAGGGGGGCACAAACTCAGCCCTGGGAGGGGGGACACGGCCCCAAGAGCCCCCCCCCAGCCCGGGGACCCCCCCACTCACACGGGCACCTCCTCCTGGGGGACGTATCCCTCCTTCACCCGCCGCTGCTTCCGCCACGTCCCGTCCGGCCGCTGCGTGGAGGGGATGTACCTCCCTGGGGGGCACAGGGGGGCATGGGGGCACCTCGGATCCCAGCGGGGTCCAGGAACACCCACGGCAGCCTCAGGACACCCCCACGGGGACCCCAGGACACCCCCACACAGACCCCACGGGAGTCCCAGCAGACCCCACAGAGGCTCTGGGACACCCCGGCACAGAACCCTGAGGAGGATGGGACACCCCCAAGGGGGTCTGGGACACCCCACTGAACCCAGGGGAGCCCCAGGACACCCCCCCAGAGAGCTCAAGACCCCCCCCAGCTCCTGGGACACCCCCGGGACCCCAAGGGGACCCCAAAGACCCCCGCCCCCCCC